AAAAGCACGGAAAATTGATATCTCAAAAGAACTCTTTGTGCAAAATGCGTAGCCTTCACAACCCTTCAACTACTACACTTTTTCATATAGGTCTGACCTCTATTACTACTTACAATGCATACAAAGGACAGACGGGGCACCAACGCGGTATCCTTTTCTTCTCCTTCTCCTCCAAATCGGACCAAAATGAACTCTCGGGGCCCTTGATCCTATTATAACCCCATCCATATAAAAGAGCAACCAGTATTAATACAGTCACCAGTACCTTAATATGTGTCTCGTTTCCTTTCTCCCACCAACTCGTTTCTGGATCTGGCTCGTATTATTGTAACTCCTCTCTCCCGGGGTACTCCATACAGCCTCCCTTGTTTTCCACAACCTTCAAGTTTGTCTCCAATCATCGCCTTAATCACTCCTTGTTTACATACTGCAGCAACACAATTCACCGCCTCCCATTGGCTACAATGATGTTTGAACAACTGTATTCCTAATATTCTTAAACTAATACAGAGCTCGATTCTGTCGTCCCCTCCCTCCAGCGGGCAGAAGAAAAAAATCCAGCCGAATTAAAAACGTGTTTGTTTAGGCTCTACCGCAGCTGTTGTGTGGGAAAAAATTGACATAGTCTCACGAATCAATAAACGATGCTGATACTATACTATATTGAATAGGGAAAACTGGTAACTTGCATTCCAATGATGTTTGACAAGCTAAAGTATATTAGTTACCGAAAAACACAATGCAAAACTGAAGATACACATTTCTGAATACAATATAGATCTGCCATATCACAAGTCCAACCGTGCCTTGATACATAATCGACTTACACCTGCTTTGGCAATTTTGCCCTGAAAAACACAATTCCACAGATACTTATTTGTTCTTTGTGTATCATTAAATACTATATTGATTTTCCCTTACTGCTCTCCAAAACCTTTCATTCATTCGCAAACACCTTGTTGTTTTTAAAGGCCTACTATTGAGATAGATTATTCCATCTTGTTAAACTGAGCTCTGGATATTCTGCCAGCTTATCTTACAATAGACTATGTCAATATCTACTTAATGAGGATCTCTGAAGAGAGAGAGAGAGAGAAAGAGAAGAATGGAAGAGGAATGCATGTATGCATCTGGTTAAAGGCAGGTCCCGATATGAGAATCAAGGGCATGATTAAACTTAGGACACCATGCATCATGGCACTTGCAGGCACACAGATTTCCATTCTAAATAAAAAATCTTACAAATCAAATTTGATAAAACTGGCAACATGAAACAAAACAACATTTTTAACTGTTACAAGTTAGAGTAAATTGGTTGACATCTATTTTTCTGTGGTGCAAGCTGAGAAATTGCCACAAGAACTGGTCAACACTTTGCCAGATAAGACACAGGACATAGTTAGCTTGTTGAAACTTTCAAACTCTAGCTTTACAGGGATGACCTTGAGTTTATAACTTGAAAAAATTGAGGTTAAAAACTCAAGGAAAGGAGATCATGAGACACGGTCTGAAACCCCCTTTGAAACCATTGGGATTTCCCAATCTGCCTTTTGGCAACTTAGTGCTGAAATTGCAGGTACACTCTACTGTTCCTTTGGTACTTTATGGAAAAAAAAAAGAAGAAATGTTAAGATAACATGTGCATGCATTGCCATTGCAACTGTATACAATACCTTGACAGATGTACCAAAAACTTCTTTCGCATCATATAAAGCACCATGCGTCTTCGAGTCATGACTACAGCATAGTGTATGGGTCCAAAATTAAACTCAAGTGTTTGAAGGTCAGCAGTAAGTCGAGATAATCAAAACCTAATGGCAAACGCAGCTTCTTTCCCTCTCTCCATTATGGTATCAGTTGCTTAGAATAACACCAGTTAAGTATATAAAGCAGTAGTACCACTTTGTACCTTGCTGTCTTATCTGTGGCTCAACTTTTCTCCATCTCCACTCTAGTGTGGCATAAAACTATCCCATAATCCACTGAGAGATTCAGGTTACCAAGCTTATGTCCATCTTTAGCACTGTAACCATATTAAAAGTTTTTTTTTTTTTTCCTTGGCACTTTTGGAAAAGAACTTATGAGTATTGCCACAATCAAAAACCTTAGGAAAGTAGTTCAAGCAAGTCGGAAATAAGGTGCACCCAACCCACTTTTTCTCCACAATTTTCTTTTTTCACCATCACGGAAGTAGGAACAACACGTGAATACAGCAAAGTCCATAGGTGGTTCGACCTTCTTATCAATCATTGAATATCAGACTTCCTATGACTACCAAGGGCGATGTTTTGGAATACTTAATAAGGGAACTGTAACAAAACTCCTCTCCCGACTCCTGAGCTATCACATCCCTTTTCAACAAAGAAAGCGTTTCATTGTTCCAATGCCCTTTATATATTGTGTACGTGACCGTTCATGACCGATTGACTTTCTTGGTTGGTATCTATATCTAGTACATGGTCCAAAGACCTGTAACATGTCCTGAATGCTTATATGTAAATATACTACAGAACTGATCCATCAATGATACCCATGCAGCTATGTCAGGCCCGTAGCCAGGGGAGGTTCGGGGGGTTCGAAAGAACCGCCCCTTTTACTGGGAAAAGGTCCACTATGGGTAAAATTTGATCTAGGTACATGAAGTTTTTATGGGAGAAGGTCCACTTTTTCAGAAAAAGAACCCCCCTTTTTAAATTGCTGGCTACGGGCCTGTATGTTTCATTCATTGTTGAAAGTGGTGCCCCTGAACATGTTTTACCCAACTTCTCAAACTTGACCAGCTCTAAACTGCCATCTCCAGCAGATGAGGAGAGATGGCGAGAGAGCCCGCATCCTTATTACAATAGTCGGCCATCTTTTGTGTTTAATGCCTCATAAAATTCAAACTGGCTGAACTGTGGGGCCTCGCTTTCTATGGTGGAGGTTAGGGTCGGTGTAAACAAGAGAGCTTTTAACTCTGCTCAACCGAAAGAGATACAGCCACCTCAGCAGTGAGAAAAGAGAACTGCTGAACTTTTCAAAGCACAGTGTCCTAGTTCAATAAATGGGCGTCACTTTTCCTTCTCTGCAAAAATATATCACGAGTGAGTTGCAGCTTTTATGTAAGATCATTGAATGGAGAGTGTCTTTTGTGCCTTTTTACAAATAGGAAAAAATAGATGGCCCTGATACTGAGATCACTAAATAGAATATACTTTTCTTTTTTGATGAATATGGTTTATGAATGTGTGTGGGACTTCTTCAAGGAACCCATAACACCATAACTGAGAAGCTGTCTATATAGAGTTCGTAAAATGAACAGAATTTTGTCTTTATGGTTTACATACATTTTGAAAGGGGGGGGGGGGGAGTGGTCAGACTCTTTTATTCTTTTTTGAATCAAAGCTTCTTTAATTGAACTCTGAAACCAAAATCCATCTTTAAAGTCTTTTTAAAAGTACTGCAGAAAAATGTTTTCTTGCTCTACAAGGTATTGACTAGCATTCATCAAAAATCATTATCAGCTTTCAAGACTGTTATGATCAGGATTTTCCGTGTATTCAGCCGATCTTTAGAATTGGACTGTAATCAATTATGAAAGGGCTCTAATCTGTGAAATCACCTTGACAGGGCGGAGCTAGATATCCTTGCCATCACGCTATTCTCATACAAAGGGCGTTGTTTGTAGGACACGTTCTCAAATAAACATACATAATAAACCTCAACTATACTGCTTCATTTCTTGTTGAACCCAGGAACAAACCCATTAATTGGTAACCCACAAAGGCCCCAACAATGCTTCAAAAGAATCATGGTGGAAAACAAATACAAACTGTGCGTAAACTAATTTTAAAACAAACACACCTAAAAGAAACTTATTTACCCCCATTTCGCAATGGGAAAATCCTCTGACCCTGAAAGAGTGTGGTGCGCCGTAGAGTGCATGCTCCGTGCGTGCCACAGAGGGCATGGAAAAAAATGCTATGATCCGAAGCTTTTGTAGGATTTTCTAAAGTTCTTCGCTGGGTTCATTCTTTCGGCAAGAGAAGGAAAAACATTCCTAACCTTACTACTGTGTATGCCGCCGTAGTGTTAAAATAGCAAAAAAATAAACTGCGACCTGAAACTATGCGAGTAGTTTTATTGTGTGAACTATGAGATTATATTATGAAAGGCAGGGCATGTCCTCAGTTTGACAGCCCAGACTAGATTAAGGGGCGTTTAAACTCAATACCTGTTCACACAGTACTTTCCCCCTGGAGATATATACCCACATCTTCTGCTAAACTTAACCAGTTCATATAAAAGCAAAACATGGCAGATGCCAACCTTGGATCCCTCTTCCACCCTATTACGTCTGCACTCGAAGGATTAAGTCTCCCACAAAAGAAGTGCAACTCTGTACCTAACGAGGTGATTAAACACATTAGTGTTCATAAATAATAAATATCAATGCACTGGTAGGGAATTCAAATCACAGGTTAATAAAGCAATTGTATGAAAGGGTTCATCGTCTTTAAGTGAGAAGAATTTCAAAAAGGTATTTAGAGGATTTGAGAAATAAATAAGTGAAAAGAATGCATGGTTGTAAAGAAACTGGGATCAGACACACAATACCGGAAGGGGAGGTTTAAATATTAAATATTTGTGCAAAGTAGTACAACTTGTACACCAACAGATATTTCAAACACGAAGTCTAAGGGTCACTCAAAAGTATTTTGAACAATATTTTACAAAAAGCAATTTGACAGTCACATTTAATCAAATGAGTTTTTTCTCTCTCACTTCCTACATTTTAAAGAAAATTACGACATCTTGGTTCTCAACCAATAGTTGTGGCTTCTTTGTGTCTCTTCATCGTTTCAAAAAAACAAAATCAACATGTCCCACATTCCGAACTTACAAATGTAAAAAATACTACAAAAATAATCTCCAAAACAAATCTTGATGTAAAATACTGTCAAATTACCTCTTGGATTTAAACATTACTATACAAATGTCTCAAAAATTCAAAAACTGACCTTTAACAAATCATCCACAGCCTCTTCCACTATGGTCACTACTCTTCTCAGGTCCTCTCGGTCACTATTGTCCAAACCTCCTCCGGCCAGGCGCAGGGACACGCCTTCCAGAACATGGGATGCACTTCGGGTCCCAAGGGTCAAGAGGTCGGGAGCTAAAGGGAGGCTGTTGTTAAGGATTCTACCCGTCGCCTTGGTAACTGCCTCTAGAACTTGTGACGCTGCTTTCAAAGTCGGAGCATTGAGCTGTAAAATAAATAGTCGACAGTGTCAATTTTTTATGAACAAAATGCTTGACTAAATTCTGACACCCGCACATGGCAAAAAGTATTCTGCCTGAAATGGTGATCCACAGCTTAAGTAAACATTTATATATGTCTATATAAATAAATGCCTGATCTGCCTTAGATACACAGCTCCAATTTCAGAGTTTCTATTTGGCTATAATCGCAGGCAATACGAAGTCGATATTACCTAAACTTATGAACAGAATACACAGAGCCAGTTCCTCCAGTCTTTGGGAAAAAAAATTGTCAACTTTTGCAAATTTTATAAATTAACTCTGGTACCATGCAAAGAGCCACTTCCAACAGCTCAAAATGTCAACGTAACTTGTAAACCGTTTTCTCTCTCAAACATCTTAATCAACAACAAGGCTCTGTTCTCACAACTTTTAGATCGATCTATCACCGCGGGGAGTCTCACTAGATTACTGTCAGATAATCCCCTTAAGTGTCCGTCCCCGCCTACTACAAGCTTTAAGGGGTAATTAACTTTCGTGTCCGCCCGGCTGACAGCTATTTAGCGTGAACCCCCAGGGAGTTAGGTCGATCCAATGTAGGTCGATCTAATCTATGAGAATGGGGTGCAAGTCGGGCTTAACACAAAGGAGACCATGCAAACGTGATCAAGCTCAGCTTACAATGTATTCCTTTATTAGGATTAGTTGAATGAACTGAAAGAATGTTACTATTTTCTTTCATCGGAATGAGCAAAGAATTCACTTTTTTCACCATGGCACAGTCACCCGTGTAGCGAGGTCATCTGCTTCTAATAACATATCCACCTCAAAATCTGACATTTCTGAACCAGATGTAATCTTACCTACAACCAAATAATCAACAGTTAGAGTTGTGGGTATTGACATATGGAGTGATTAAAAAGCCATATTTCTACTCAGGTTGGCCCCATCCAACTCAACGCAATCCATCTGAACAAGCAGACCAATTAAATTTATATACAACAGGGATCCAATCAAATGACACATTGTTTACCCTAATGACAATTTGTAGAGGAAGGGACAACAAAGTGGTAAGATTTTACTGCCTATGGTGAACTAATCGTAATCAAACCACCTGCTGGAATGGATAGTAACTTGATTAAACTCAACTCAACTAGAAACAAGCCCAAAAATATGCCCACAATAGTCAAGGATGAAAATGCTGTGCTGTGGGTGGTTGTTGGGGTAAGGGAGGGGCGAAATGGAAATACAGAAAATCTTGACCACTTGCTTGCCTATATGTATATCTCACTTTGATCTTGATGCTATGCTCATAATTTCAAGCTTTTAATGGGCATATAACTCCAGATCCAAATAGCAGCGTAATAGTCACTTCTTAAGGGGAAAATGGAATGCACTAATGGCAGGCCATCTGCAACATTATGCAACAATGTACACACAAACTGCAACACTGTATACACATTGTATAATGCTACAGGATGCCGGTTGTGTAACAATGTACATACATTATCAATGAAGTGTACAACATGGTCAATCCTCGGAATAAACTAAGAGCTTATCTCTGTCAGTGTGTTTTGCCGAGGGCTTAGCATTTATTGAATGTTGCTCTCTTCTGAGTAAGAGCTAACACAAGGACGTCAATGACTGTGTAGCGGAGGGTTACATAATGGCCAAGTTGTGACTTTCCCACTGGTAATGTCAAAAAGATCAGGCTACAAACAAAATATCCTATAATTTTGGAGAAATAATTTCCACGGCAAATACTGTTTCCAGTAAGCAGACGCTATTGTTGCCACGGGCATCATCATAGTATACGAATCCAAACTTGAAAATGGCAAGATCACACGTCACACCAGCCAAAAATAAGCACATGCCTTTCGTCAATGGCAGTGGACATGCTGATTACAAAATTTTGTATGTCCAAACTTGGTCCAACTGTTTGTAATATTTTTGATAAACCATGTTATTAGGATAAGTTTGAATTTCCACAATATCATTAACCTTTAGTTAATTAGTTTAAAGGGGACCAATGTGTACATGCCTTTATGTACCAAACTTTTGTCTTGTAACAACAAATTTATTAAATGGCATTTAAATGTAACAACAATCTGGGGAAACTTACTACAGGTGCGTAACAACACCAACAAGTCCATTAGCCATGAAAGGAAAGTATGCCATTTATATAAAGCCTTTGCATCTCCAAAAACTGATACACAAATAGAAGGGTTATATTTGAGCCAAAACATCCCTGTTAAACTGCTGTCACCCACTTAAGTGTAAAGCCTTTATCTTAAATAAATTTCCACCCCCTTCCAAACATGTCTTTTATAAATTATAAAACATGTTATTTTTCTTATTTTTGTAAACATCAGTGTTGGTTCCACTTTTATTAAGAATTACATTTAATATAAGATTGTTCTTTTTCGTAGGAAAGAGTCCTGTATAAGTTTGGCCAAGTCACTAAAATTAGGCAAGAAATAAGGAATACCATTCAAATACCTCATCCAGGACACGGCAACAAAGTTGCTACTTTGTGTATTTACTCATGCATCCCAGACTTTACCCAGGGATACTGGGTAAAAGCAAAACTGTGGCTACTTAAACCAGATCTTTCTGATACAATGACCCATTCCGCATCACACAGAGGTAAGAATCAACACAACAACACCACTGCCTTCCTCACTTTTTGTTCTCCACTTCCATATCTTATATTGACAAAGAACATACACGACCAAAAGTATCTTTCTAGCACATGGCGTGGCGTCGTCACGTTAAACATGACCACCGCTTGGGAAAACACGAACCACAGTTAGTTTTGCTTTCCTAGCAAATATTGATGGACATTGGACAAAGGGACAAAGGACCGTTACAATGCCAGCACTGGCAACGCACAGGGCAGCAAGGGTCTTATGAGTGCTAATGCACGGGAGTTGCCTCGCATGAAAGCTACGAAGTCACCTAATGGGATCGATGAATTGCTCTTGCGTCATTGCCAACACGAAGCAAGATAAACACAAATATTCATACCTCTTATAATGTAAGTGGTGCATTAGGGGAATTCCTACTTTTAAGCCCACCACTATTCTTTTGATTTGACTTAAATGCTCTGTTAAATTGCAGGAATTATAGCACTTTGAAACATTGCTTATGGCATTGCGAAAGAAAATTCCTAGTATAGCAGTGTTAAATCTATATATCTAATACAAGTACCCCTCCCCAACCCCACCCTCTACCATAATAAAGGAATGGGCCAATTTATGGATAAATCACTACTGCATATAATATTGCAAACTTATTTGTTTTTCCACAGTTGTTGCTGAATATCATATTTCGTCTTTATCTTACTTTAATATAGAATTAACACTATAGATATTCTTTCATATCTGATGCTTCTATATAATCGGTATTGATAATTATTTGAATTATATTTAAAAAGTAGACTCTGCAAAGTAATTTTTCGTTGCATCAGTTCATCAAACACAACACTTTTGTCGAAAATTCTCAAAATCACCCTTGGACTTAAGCCGAAATATAAAATAAAAATACCTGCATTTAAATGTGTTCATTCCTGTGAAAAAGCAGCAGGAGAATCAATAGTGTGCACTTTAATTTCGAGATGCCTTTACTTCCTTCCCCTATATTCTGGAGTAGGATGTTTGTCCAGAGCCGCAATTTTCATTTCACACCTCTTTTGCATGTTTGGCACTACCTATACTAAAGCCTCTTCAAACCCAATTATTCTGATAACAGGCGATTGTCCCTGGACCAATATTTACTCAATGTGATATAGCATCTCATCAACAATACTTCTGTTCTATTAAAAATGACTCATCGGCTTTTGCCCATTTTTCATCTGCCATAAGTGCTGACTTTCATTAAATTCTAATGTTTTGGTTACAATTATGACTATTTAAAAAAGTCATGCAACACGTCTCGAATTTTCCAGAAAAGGCCATTATCTAGGTAAAACATCTTTGTAAATGCTTTATCTGTTAACGGAATAATAGAAGTTGTACATCAAAAGATCTCTTTTTATCTTCAGAACATTGTCACAACAGCTTGATGAAAATAAATAATTTAACATTGTAAAGCAAATAATGTGAAGAATATTTCAAGCAAAATAGGCAGTACAATGGTTGCAAATTAGAATGACAAATATCTATCACTTTTGTCGCAATTTAATCAAAAATCAAAATAAAACTTACCTCCGAGGCTTTGGCTGTCACCCAGGCTAGTGCTGCAGATGTTTGCAAAATGGCCGACTAAAAAGAGATGAAGTTACTTTTAAGAAAGGACAAAAATAAATGCTAAAAAAACATCATGTAATAATTTCCTATGAACAATCAATATTTGATAACATTTTTCAATGAAATTTCAGTTACAAGAAATGAAAATAGCCCATACCCTCATCTGTTACTGCTATTATAAAAGCAACCCACTACTAAATAACTAAAATTACAATTAAGCTCTCCTTTATTGACTCATTAATTTTTTAGAAATATGATGGTAAGATAACGTCAGAATTTTTAAAATGACAAACTCATAACAGGGACACTCAAAAGAGTCATTCATGCACATACAAAGTCAACACCGAAAACATAATTCAATTTGGGGAGACATCACTTTTAGATCTGGCCCAGTTTTAGGGCTCATTCCCAATGTAACTATGGCTCTATTCCCATAGATTTTAGATCGATCTATCCCCGCGGGGAGTCTCACTAGATTACTTTCAGATAATCCGACTTAAATGTCCGTCCCGCCTACTACAAG